GAGTACTCAGAAAGATTTTATTGTAGTAAATCCAAAAGGGGAAACTTGCTCTAATTTCCTTAACAATATTTTGAACAAATACTGTTCCCTGCTCTTTGTTTTGAATTCAGTGCAGATGAATCTGTCCAAAAAAATTGTTTTGCATTTGTAAGATTCAAAGTCTTTTTAACAAAGAGAGCTAATATAACACTAATATCAAGCCACCATTTCCGATCTTGGAATAGACATTCTTTTTAAAGGAGCAATTCTGGAACACCAATTAACTTCTCTTTCACTCACAACTGATGCATAAGCAAAACCAGAGTCGTCAGAAAATGTTATTGAGGAATCACCATCAATCAATATAAATCTCGGAACTTTCACTCATGTCAGCAAAGAAAAGTTTTTTAACAAGGTAATAATTTGGATTGGTAATAATAGCGATCCCACAATATACCTCATACCTGGGGCTGGTTTAAACAAAATTTTTGACCTGTATTTGATAGACTTCCACTCTCTCAATTCGAATTTGGAATTGATCATCAATTCTGTAAACAGTTTAACAAAACGTAGATAATGTGTCTTCATTACAAACTGAAATTTGAAGAAAAAAAATTACTTCTTTATAGCAGCAATCAAGTCTATTTACTTTTCTATGAACTTCAGGTATCACTTCAATGGTTTTATTTCTGAACAACCATTTAAAGAAGGGCTATCTTTTAGCTCACATGAAGTATCGAAGACTAGTTGAATTTGCTGTGGAAATTTTTTGAACACTCAGTGGAGAAAATAATATAAGAGACTTGAAAGTTTTTCTGAATGTACTTTTTCTATAATGTCATCCTCAAGCTATTCAAAGTGATTATCAAGATTAGAATCCGAAATCTAGTTTGCAAGTTTATCTAATCTTTTCTTTAGCAGTAATTCTATTATCAGGAAATTTTTCAACCTCTTCTCATGGTAACTCAACTTTGACGACGACGATCTAGTTACTGGTGAGGTAGCTGCCCGCGTCAGCGTGCAATAAACCTCTGGATCTGCACTTTGCCCTAAGGCAACTGTCACTAATGGCATGGGTAATTCGAGGAAATTAAGGCAGTTGGCGGCTGGAGTAGCATGCTGTGTGGTACAGCTCAAACCATGATTTTAATTAAAGATATAATGTTAGATAAAATATATAAGAAACTTAATATATTAAACATTTAAGTTAATATAGGCATGATATATATACGTTTCAATTAACATAGTCGGTGGTTATCCAGTTGAATAAACATATAATTGATTAACTAGAGGGAACAATTAGGTACATATCTAAGGGTGGAATGCTCCTGGGCTGAGAATCACCTTTGTTCCTTTCCTCTTCCCGGGAGTATCCATGTGAGTAATAAAAGGAGGGGGGGGGCTTATATCTTCCTGACACTGTCCACTCCGAGAGCAGGAAATTTATGATTTCTATTATCTTGAATGAGCTCCTTATTCAGAAATAGATTGAAATCTGCTCTATTTTTTGACACTGTAGAAGCAGCTCAGTTTGTTGATAAATTCACTTATTAAGTTGATATTAAGATCTAATTTCGTGTATTTATTTGGTATTGTGCCACAGGACTCCAGTGATTCTACGTAAAAGCTTATTTTGAATCGTCTCAAGCTTCTTCATCTGAGTATTAGTTAAACAATTCCAGGCCGGGCTGGCATATGTGCCTATTGCAACTTATATGCAAGTGTCTTTTTAGATTAAGAGGAAGATTTGATTTAGCATTTAAGATTGGTCTAAAGCTAGAAAACACTGCTTGGGCTTTGGTGACTATCTTGTTTACATGATCAATTCAATTCTATTTGTTATTTAATGTTAAGCCAAGATAATCGGAAGTATTTACTGTTGGAATCATATTTGAGAATAGACTGACTCTGTACGTGATCTTTTTTCTTTCTCCATCCTTCTGAAACTAGTGACAATTCTACTGTCCTTCCTTGGTTTCGGAATAAGAATGATGGTAGCATTTTTCCAATTATCTTGAAACATATTATATTTCAAGCATTCACTATAAATATTTTGATTGTTATGTATTATGAGCTTATTAATAGTCTTGGTCAACTTAAGTGCCTTGGCTATTTTCCACATGGTTTGATATTCCGTGCAGAGTCCCGCAACTTTGTCATTCCAGTTGCTTTCTCTATACTGTTGGCAGTTTCTTCTGATATTTTTGGTGAGTTTATTTAGTTCCTGTTTATCATTTGAGTCACCTTTCCTCTACCATTTTTCCTAATTTTTATAACCGATTTCCTCTCTGATATATTGAGGCAAGGCAATATAGTTTTAATTAATGATTTGATGGAAGACTATAACTTCAATGCTTTGAATTTGATAGTTATACTCATCTTGCAAAAGAATACTTGTGAAAAGATTCCTGTTCGTTTTCTTGCTAAGTATTGGTGCATCCTGAATAACTTCACCAAGGGTTTCAACGTGGTCACTCGACAACTCGGTGACTATCAGGCAGAAAAGTGGTGTCTTGCTATTTGTGATGAAAAAGTCCAATAGATCAGGCCTCTTATTTGGTACGTACGGAAAGTCTGCAGATGCTATGATAGTGAGATTCTTCTCTGCAATAATATTACAGAGCTCTTTTTCATTTTTATTATTCACTTTACATTCACAGGATGTATTTTTAGCATTAAAATCACCTCCAATAATGCTCTTTATGTTGGAAAGAAACAGTGAATTAATGGTATCTTTGCTTATAATGTTACCAGGTTTATTGTACATGGCAGTAAATTTGTAGTCAATTTTATCATTATTATTAAAAAGTATAGAAGTTTCTTCATAATTTTGTCCATTGTTACTCCTATACAGTACTGTACTTAAACTCCTTTTAGCAAATATGGCTTTACCTCCACCTCTACACACAGTTCTATAAGTCCTTTATGTGTGATAATTTGCTATAGTCAGTCTGTTTGAAGCATTAGTATCTGTTTCTGTTACTAATGCTATATTAATTTTATTCCCTATGATGAATTTACTGAACTCAGTAAATTTATTATTTATTCCTGCTGCATTCCATAGCATAATTCTTAATGTCTTTTTATTCATGATTTTTCTTATTTAATCCCTCTTGTTCGATTCTTCCAACTTCTCTTCTGAGCAGGGGATTTGCATTTGGACCGTTGAGGACACTATGTCATTTAATGTGCTAAAGACATCAACAGTTTTTTGCACGTCGGAATTCACTTGTTTTTTAACAGCGTCGGCGTAGCTTTTATTTTCAAAAACCCTTTCCTGGGGTTTGTTTCTTCTAGACCTCTGTCTTGGTCCCATCGGAAATTCAGGATATCCTCTATAATTGGCCGGGTGTTCTGAACCGCAGTTGCAACACAGAGGTTTCTCATCCTGCGTCTTAGTGAAATTGGCGGTCAGGTGGTCTTCACATTTTACTCACCTCGGCGGGCACATCGCAGCCGAATGGTAAAAACCCTGACACCGGTGACATTGTGCCGGTTCAGGTCGAGTCTTATAGGCTTCTAATCTGACTTGTAATCCGTCTACATGCGTTACGCCGTAAATTTTCTTGAAATTATCCGCTCTACATAGTGATACGAGAAATAGATTCAACTTCTTAATCTCTCCTCTGAACTTTCTCTTTTGTTTAACCTCTTCTACCGTAAATCCTTCTATGGCCAGGTTATTTAGTTAATTTTATTTTCCATTATAAATTGGAATATCTTTAAAAACTGGCGTCATGTGCCTCTCATTGGTATGAATAGTGGTCGTGATTGTTATCTTTGACTGATGATCCTCTGGGTGTTATCTGATTTAGGTTTTATAGCAAGTCTTCTAGTTTGATTAGTTTTTTCCATCACAGGGGAAGAGTAGTGAGGAATGAGTAGTTCTTTAATTTTATCACTGCTTTCCTTGATCTTTTCGCTGGTTAGATCATCTTTACTTCCTGCCCATCCTAATGATTTTCTAAGTATGTTAGTCACTGATTTTAATTTGTGAATGTTTTCATTGAGAAGTTTTCCAAAATCTTTCTAAATTCTTCTATAACTAATCCATCTAACACGCTTGGTACGTTTCCACATATAATTTAATCCATCACAGATTTGCGCTACAAAATTTTTTATCTGAATTCCATGCAGTAATGTGAAAACATTCGTGATCTGAGTTGGTTGGAGTAATATTATAATGAAGTGATCGGAGTCCTGTTTTACATAATGAATATAATAGCGAATCTGTTTCCCTCAGCCTGATAAACCTTACTAAGAGTGGGGGAAAGCCCTGCATCAGAAAATTCTTAAAGCAAGTAAATCTCTTACATATTATACATATTTATATTTATACAATTATATACCATGAATCATAATATTTCTTAAATTATAGACAGTTGTGAATAAACTTTAAACTACATATCTGATTGAAGTCCCATTAGAACAGCAAAAGTTTAACATCAGAGTAGAAGAATTGGCAGACATCAGGCAGTAAAAAGTCACATCCTATCTTAGCTTTGCTAAGGAAAGAATTTTATTAATTAGAATTAGAATAAGGAAATAATGCTAAGAAGCAAATTATAATGCACAAAATTGAATAAAATAGAGAGAAAAGAAATTAAATTCTGGTGCCATAAAACGAGTTTAAAATATGCTAAAAAAAATGTACCAGAACATGTAATTTTAACAACATTTCAGAAAATCTGATCAATATATTCTCATAGAATATGCTTCGTCAATTTGTATTCTTTTATTGTATCAAAACTTTCTTTTATTGTATAATATATATTTAAATATTCTTTTATTGAATCAAAACTTTAACAAACACAGAAAAATTATTTAAAAAACTCTCTCAAAAAATACTTTTCCCTATCCCAAAAAAATTAACTATCAACTTATCCCTTATCCACAAAAATTAACTATAACTCTAATTATTAACTAAAACAAACCTTCACGGCAAAAAGTTTACAATATTTTTCGGTGGTTTAGCGATTGGGTGAAATAGAAAGAGTCTACACTTTTTCCCTATCTAGTAGCGTAATAATATCAGTTCTTCTATGCAAAGAAAACTGCAGATTACAATACGATGTTTCACGGGCAGAAGCGTCAGTGGGTTAAGGAAATAAATATAAATTCTGAGCTCTAATAAGAGGTTAATGTTATGCAGTAATTCTGATGTGTTTGAAGCGAAACTTAGTTTTAGTTCTTTCTTAAAAAAAAGCGACGTGGCTTACATTTAGATAAAACTTTGTCCTTGTTGCAAGCAGTGCACCGTCCATAAGTTAGAGTTAATATTTACTCAGAATATAGAGACTAAGTTTATTTTGCAAACTAACATTTAGAATACATTCTACACTGCAAACCAAATGGTCTCAAAATACACAGGGAAAAGTAACTCTCAAATAAGGGCGGTAAAGAGTGCTCTCTTGTGTAGAAAACACCAACCATTTTAGCATGAATTAAGATTAAAAATAAAAATCTTTATAATATTATTTGGAAAAGCAGCATTATCTGTCTTATTTTTATCTGACACTTGAGAATTTTGAAAAAAAATTCGAATGATGAAATTGATGATCACTTGAACTAGAAAATCGCAATCGGGAGGAATGTGTTTTAGGGAACTGTGGGAATAATGTGCATAAATCATACACTGACTAGGACAAAAACCTGAGAAAATATTTCGACAACCTGAGAATTAGCAGGTTCACTAATGTGCATATTACTCAAATGTTTGTCAAATACAGATTCTGAAAAGGAAACAATCCTCTGCCATCGACATTTAAATACATTAAAAGAAAAGCACCCTTTATCTAATATAAATTTCCATTTTTATTCTATGATGGCAGAAGTGTTTAATAATATATCATTTTTTTAAACACTTCTGTATCCACTAACTTTAGCAGTAAACTCACAAATATTTTTATCAAAACAGTTGGCCTCAGTGTAAGGTTTTATATGTAAAATATCTTTGAAAAATCTGAAGAATCTTGACCATGATACAAATCATGAATGTCTTCATTTAAGGATATTATTTTTTAAAAAAAATTTATTAAAAAAAAAGTAGGAAAAAAGAGCAGAAAATTAGTGGAAGTTAGGTATACAAGTAAGAAATAAAACAAACAAAAAACAACTTAGCAAATTAACTTTTAAAACTGTTGTATGAATAGTTAATAATGATTATGCATAGCTAAATTATGTCAAAATTACTCTTTTAAACTAATCATTTTAAAATAGCATAGCTGCCAACCTTAGGAATCAAAAATGAGGAACACTATACGCGACAAAATTATATGCACTAATTATGAGAGTAAGATAAAAATTTAACTATTAAATCATAACATTAATAGACATATATTTAAATATGTAAATTAGTAAAACAAAACTATAAACACTATCTTTTGTGGGAAACTTATAATATTAATGTTTTATAATTAGGAATACCGGTATAATATATTAAAAACAAACATTACCTATTAATATATAATTATTTATCTCCAAATTATAAAACACTGGTAAATAATAATCTACATCATAAACAAATATTTCTGATGCAAGTGTTTAAATACTACAAAAAAAAAATTTTCCAAAAATAATAATTTAGTGAAATAATCAGCAACAGACAGCTATTGGAATAATATTTTCCAATAAAAAGCTACTAAAAATTACTTTAGCACAATAATCACAGGATGCGTGCTTGTGGCGATCAGAAAAAAGGATTGTTTTAAAATCACAAATTTTATGAAAATTCAGATTTTTTATTAAAATATCAGATTTTCAGATTGGATTTAAAAATTAGGAACAAATCCGAAAAATTCTGAATAGTTGGTAGCTATGAAATAGGGTTTTAAGTCTCAAAACACACTTTCCACCCTAAATTTTTTTTTCAAAGCAAATAAAAAATTCCTGAAAAGTAAAAAACTAATAGGAGTAAACTTATTTATTGTACAAATTAGAGAGGGAAAAAAAATCACTCTCGGTGTTTTGGAATCTTATTCACGCATGTTTTTCAAGAGTCCTCTTACTGTATCCAAAAGATGATTAGTTTTCATTTTAAATTACAAAAGAAGGTTTTAAGAACCCTTCTTTAAAATTTCAAGAGTATCTGTTACATAACGGAAAATTTTTATGGTGTGGATACTTTAACCATCAATTTTAAACCATACGCGCCTATATTTCATAGTCATGCTGTGTTTTAGAAAATACATAGAATGGTACACCTAAGAGTCAAATCAATTGTAAAAGAAATAACATCTCGACTTATATGGACCGATATTAAAAAAGATCTACTGGAATGGACAAAGTCATGTATAAATTGCCAAAAAACCTAAATTAAAAAGACACTAAATTTGAATTTGCTGAATTTTAACAACCAGATGAGAGATTTCATTTTAGTGCATATAGATTTAATTGAACCATTTCCACCTTCAAATGGAAAAACATATTGCCTGACTTTTATTGATATACATCTTGGTTAGAAGCAATTCTAATTCAGGATATTAAAGCAGAAGCAGTAGCCAAGGCATTCTATAAGCAATGGCTAGCAAGATTTGGTGTGCCATATAAGGTAATAACTGATAGAGGAACCCAATTCTCTTCCAAAGTCTTCAAGAACCTAGGAATGTTATGCGGCACGAAAGTTATCACCAAATCTACAATGGTAAAGCAGAGACAACATACAATCCTAAAATGCTCAATTAAAGATATCAATAAAATGGAGGGAAACTCTCCCAACTGTTCTTCTTAGTTTGAGATCTGCTCTAAGAAAAGATTCAAACTGTTCAATATCACAGATGGTATATGGCCAAACAATAAAAGTTCTAGGAGAATTTTTCGAACCCTCCAAACATTCCTTCTCAACAGAATCGTTTGCAAAAGCTCTACAAAATCATATGAAATTCTTAAATCCAGTTAAAGCAAGACAAAATATAAATCAAAATATTTTCATAAACAAGTATCTTCAATTCTGTTCACAAGTATTCATCAGAATAAATAGAGTAAAAAAAAACTTTGAACCTGCCTATCAAGGACCATATCTTGTGTTAAGAAGAAATGAAAAATATTTCATAATCAAAACTAAAGGAAAAGATGACAGTGTTTCAATTGATAGACTTAAACCTGTTTATATATTAAACGAAGAAAACTCTCCAATAGATAAGAACAGTGAACAATCTTCTATAGATGATTCAAAATTAAAACAAAATATTGAGCCTACGAAAAACCCCAAAGTATCTCGTTCTTGCAGACTTATAAAATTACCTACCAGGTTTAATTTGTATGCAAAAATTAAAAATGTATTGTAATATTGTTACTTGGTCGGAGAGTAATGTAGGGTAGACATAAGTATGTAGACAATATATAAGTTATTATAATACTCTGTATTCCATTGGCATTAAAAAAATGTCCTTTGCAGAATAATTTTGTACTAATGTTAGTAAAGACTTACTTTTCCACTCTTCAATAGCTGTTACATCCACACTTGCAGATTCACCACATTCAGCACGATACGCCTTCATATAAGAGACTGACTCTTAAAGATGAATTTTTGAGTTTTCTAATCTGTCAGAGGGAAAATAAATTTTCGGTTCACATTATTTTCTAAGAGTTATGAAATTACAGTTTATATATATGTAAAACAGATGCATGGAATACAAAATTATATAATTTATAAAGCGAAATCAATGCTGTCAAATCAAAAAAGAAAATGTGCTGAATAGCTATTACACATGTTCATGAACACTCAATTCAAATGCATCTAATATTCAGCGTACGAAAAAACATGTTAAAGCACTCGTAAAAAGTGCAAACATAGATTTAAAATTAAACTATTTAAAGGTTTACCTATATTAGTTTAGTCATTCTTTCCTAATATTTTCCTCCATTATGGTGTTTCTTATTTAACTATTATTATAACTTTAACTAGAAATGGTACTTTACTATTAAATAATCCTACGACAGAATTATGACCTTATCTTATGACTTTAAGGGAATTTTTACAATCAACATATTTAAATCAATATCTCATCTTATCAATTATTAAACAGCAAATAATGCTTATTAAACCTTTATTAAAACTATTGTGCAAAAATATGACCAGTCAGCATTTGCAATTAATAAAAATTAAATTGTAAAACATTATCAGGAATGAACTTCTTGCATTATTAGTAAATAATCTCATGGACGAAAAACATTTAGTAAGTTTTAATAGCGGCCAAACATTAAATAGAGAAAAAAGAAAAATTTGCAGATGCTGCAATCAAAAAAGTATTAAATTTAAATTTTCTCGCGAGAGAATTAGGAACTAAATTTGTTTTGCAATACATAAAAATGAAAACAATGAATAAATATAATAAAACATTTTAAAACCTTTCAATTAAATATTTTTTTATTTAAAAGTAACAATCCGTTTATCGTTGAGTAATAAAAAAAGATTGTAGCAACTTTGGGGAGGGGTTAATGTGTAAAAGGTAGAACTTCGCAATAAACACTTAAAAAAAAAACAATAAAAAAAGGTGTTTGTTTAGCGAAAACTAATAATGAAAGTAAACAAAAACCTCTTTGCCTACATTTCTGTATGACCTTTGCTGAATCGAGTATTTTTTTTCTATAATTGGACGTGCTATTTGTCATAAGTCAGGCCTAAATTAGCCAGATTTGTTTACTTCTGCTATCAATTCTAGTTGAATAGAGTATAATCAAAAAACTAATTGTATGCAAATTTTGCTACGAAATATTTATAAACAAAAGAATAAAAACAAAAATAAATTACCTTATAATAATTTCAAATTTTCATCCATTAAGTATTCCACTTAAATGTTGGAATCTTCAAAACCTCGAAAGCTTCAATCACATTTCCCCTAGTTTAGAATTACATAAAATATAAGATACGGAAATAAAATTCATGGATTTTCTACAGTAAAATTTAAAAAGCTTCAGACTTTAAAAATTGAAATAGGGTATAATAATAATAAAGCTAAAATTTAAATGCATGCATTATGAATTTATGCATGCAAGCAGAAATGTTTATCATAACAAAACAAACAAAAAATTTCTCATCATAAAGCAGTTTATTATTTAAAACTTAAATGTTCCCTAAATTAAAATAAAACTTTCTATTAAGTAGATGCATTATGACATTTATTAAAAGCTCTAGATATGAATTAACTGTTCAAAAATTATAATCTTATATTTCAATTTATTGTAATTTTTAAATTTATTTTAAATTAATGAAGTGCATGTTTAACAGAAAATAAAAACTACAAAAGTATTTAGAATTATTTTTAAAATTAGCATTATGATAAAAAATAGTACCATTTTATCAGTGTTGATAAGTTATTCGACAAAACAGTTTTAATGTCAAATAATATTTTAAAACAAAATTGAAATAAATTTGAGAGTGATCCTGCTATGAATTTTCCGAATTCTCTATGAATCCAAGACTGAGTTTAACTGAAAATTTTCCCTATTTTAATTGACACCCTAAATGAAACCCAAAAAAAAGCTGTATATTTAAAAATATTAAAATTCTAATTAAATTGAATAAAAATAAAGAAAACTATAGTGCATGTTCTACATATTAATCTTGATTATTAACCTTTATTATTTATTCTTTTAGCTTACAATTAAATATTTTTATGAAACATTCCTTGTTAGTTTTTTTTCAGTTTTGTCATTATATAGTTTTCTCAATTTAAAACTCTATAACCCTCTATTCAAGGTCTCACTTCACTTTGTTTTAAATATCTCTGGAAGACTAAAGAATTGTTCAAATTAACTAGTAGTAATGAAAATTAAGGACTTTTAAAGACCTTGAACCCAAAATTATGTACTTTTAAGAGATCTTATTTTCCAAAATAAAAACTAAGCAGATTTTAGAAACTTTCAAGCACAGTGGTAATACTAAATACATGATTTATTATTTCTAAAAAGAAATAAAATTTCGCAACCTCATTAAATCATTATTAGTATTAACTTATTTAGAACAACAAAATTAAGTTCTCTGCAAATTTAACTATTTTTTTCTTACAACGTAAAATCAATACATGTGATATGTGATTGTATACATGTGATATTCAACATGTCAAAAACATGTTTAAAGATAATTCTTTTCTGCAATAGTCCACATTTGTAGCTTACTTTAGTGGCATGAAATATTCCATTGTAATTGCACTGATCAAATAAAATGATAAACATATACAAGAGGATAAATAGGGAAAATTATAGTAAGAAGTTTTTATCTATACCACGTCAAAGGAAATAGAATTGAGTTTCTTAGTAGTGAATTGGTGAAAAAAGTTACTGATTTTTCGCACTTGATTACAAAATAACAGTCTTTCTCCATTTGGGTGACATTAGTCACTGTAGTAGATTTTCTACCAAGTAGTTATTTTAGTTGCCAATGACAGCCCTGTGTTTAGAACAGAAAATTTTGACAGTTTGCAGAACAGTTTTAGTAATGGGGCATGGAACAACTACTGATAGTTTAAGATTAATAATTCAATACATACAAAAAATTTTAACAGAACTGTTGCATTAAAAAATAACCAGCAGTATTAATTCATATAACCTCATACCAAAGTTTATCTAAATTTGTAATAGAGTTTAAGATCATTAATCAAATAATTTAAAAGTAGGATTCCAATAACCCTTAAACTAAAACTAAGTGAATTTGTCGCTTTGCAGTTTTATAAAGAATTCGTAGATGAACCCTCAACTCACCTTTTCCAGGATATGATTGGCAGAATCCATCATTTTTTAAATGATATGATAGAGATAAATCTAAAATTATAAAATTTTCCCCCACCAGATTTGTTACAGCATTTGCTTAAAATAATAAGTAAGTGTATGACCCCTAAATTAATTATAAACATTTGATAGTGTAAAAAAGCAACAAGTTTTTCCCCATAATTTTGGAAACAATGAATCCTGCGGGTAAGTCTATGTCTAAACCAATCATATAGTTAGTGGACAGATGCCAAGTTTTAACTATCGAACTTTTTCTTGCATTATTAATTAAAATAAAAATATGGGATTTCAAATCTAAATCTGTTGATTCTTCAAATAAAGCATTTTAAAATCTATTTGCATTAGTAGAAAATATGATGTTCAGCAGACACACAGTATATCAGGGCAGAAAGTTAAAAACCAGAACAATTACAAACCCTGCAATTTTCAAGTTTTTTTTCTTCTTTTAAATTAATTTCTTGTATTTTTACAGGACTATACAGCTTCGTTCTATGAATGAAAATAATTTACCTGCAGCTGCTTTTCTTTGATCAGCTAGGACAAAAATTTATTCACAGGCTCTCCGGAAAAAGGACCAATAAGAATAATTTGTTTTAAGACCTAAAAAATAAATGTTTTAGATTAATATCTTCCGGAGACTGACTTTTTAGATCTTTTATTTGAACAGGAAAATTATCATTACGAGAAATATTGATTGAGAATGCTTAGAAATATGTCAAATACTTTAAAGCATATGATTTACAACATCTATTATTGGAGAATTGGAAAAGAAAAAAATCTATTTTAAAATGTATTAATTTCAAAAATTTAAATCTAAGCTCAGATCTCGAAATTATACAAAATAAATATCTCCAACTCGAAACTAAATATTTCATTGTTAAATTTCAGTATTAAATTAATATATTTCAGTATTATATTAATAATACTGAATAATATTCAGCATTACTATATTCATCAGTATTATTATATTCAGTATTATATATGATTATATTCTGTATTATATTAATATATTTAAATTCATTATATTTGACAAAAATACGTTTTATTTCAACACTGCAAATATATATCTGAATTTCAAAGTACCTATAACGGGTATTAAAAGACAAATGTTATTTTACATAATAAATATGTTTAAAAAGAAATTCATATTTTTTTCTCGGTTTGGGAATACTTACATACATAAATATATTTAAAGAAATGGTTTAGTTATCCTACAGTCAAGATAAGGTAGATAGAAGAACAATTTATTCTGCTATTTCAAAAAATTAAGAAAGAAAACAATCCTGATATTAATTTTGTAAATTGTTTATTTTACGCCTATTTTCCAGTAATTAATAGCAATACATATTACACAGTAGTATAGTTTCAAATGAATTTTTATGATTCAGTTTTATAAATATTTCAATTATACTTAAATTCTTACACTTTAATTAAAAACTGAATATTAAGTTCTTAAAGTATGCTCTGAAAAAATCTCATCTCAAAAAAATCTCATTTAAATCAAATAAATTGAATTAAAATAAAAACCCTGAGAAATAAAATAACAGAGATTTTACTATCGACATTTTTTGGGCTACGAGTAAAGTTTTGTTACATCATGCATAATCACGTAAGTCAAAATTGGAAATAATATAAGCACTTAAATTTAGTGAAGTAAAAAATACATATATAAATCTTCATCTGAATAAATTTTTTTTAAAACCTGTAATTATAATACTATTCATACACTCATGAAGAATAAAGATTTAAGAAAAAAAGAAAAAATAATTCAAACTACCTGTTGAGTTAGTTAGAAGCAGCAAGAGGTAACAGGAGATCTAAAAAATACAAGGGAATGTGAATAAAAAAATGAATTTTCTAATATCCTTATTATTACTTTTGATCTAATAAATATATGAAAACAATAAATAAACTAATTGAAAATAATAAAAATTAAAAAAAAATACTTTTACTTAATTATTCATTAGAAAAATGTAGACTTGATTAATACCAGGTCTCTTAGTAAGGCTAAGAAAAAAAATCAAAATATTAAAAAAAGAAGAAATTTTTGGACAAACACCAGTTTCCATATTACCAACCTGCAATGCTCATAAAGAGATAATTTCTTTCTCTTCCCTCAGCAGAGAGAAGGTAACCCCAAAACAATTTTTATAACCAACAAGGAGGAATTTGTGTGTCTATGATAGTGATGAAAGCGAACGATATTATTTTTCCTCACTTTTTTTTTCTTGTTCTTTTATCCTTTTAAATTTCTTCTTGATATGTCGCAAATAACAAAATGAGAAACTCTACGAAAACCAGTTTTAACATTTCAGTTCGTTATCGAACGGCAACGTTTGAACAGTTAGGGCTTCAAAAGCTTGAAAGAAAATTATTGTTTACATGCGTGTTTCGTGTATCTTCGTCCACTGGCACAGATTTCTAATGCTCAAGGTTTCGCAAATTTGAAACCTGTTAAAGGATTTTATCATTCCTTTTAAATAATTTAAAAACTCACTTAGTATAAAGCACTTATTACACAAATGCATATATGTAAAGTGTCACTCGATAAAATACTGATATGTGAGGTGCCGTGCTTAATGCTCCGTCTACGCCGGAGTAACTCATCTGATGAGTTTTTGTTTTGCCGTTTCTACCTAAGTGATTATTATATGAAGGGTGCTTTTGTCAGAAAATACATCTCTGAAAACGATAAATAAGAGGGGAAAGAAGACATGATTTATGCTTATCAAATTCATATCTTATCGCTAAAGATAAAAATATACTATTATGATTTTAAAAAATACTTTGTTTAGAATAGAAATTTTTAACATACTCTAGTATAATTTTAATTAATCAATTTTAATTAATATTAATTATAATTAAATTAATCAAGCACTGAACAACTCATAATAATTTGATATTATCGTTGAACATTTATGTTGCGTTACAAAAATATTCATTATTTATTCACCCATTCCCCCTAACAAATATTGAAATTTTCAATAGATTTACGTTTAAACTTCCAAATAGTTATGGAGAAAAGTATCTGAAAACGATAATTATATATTTTTTTTTAATGGAATGACTGAATTCCTCAAAAACTGTGAAAAGCAATTTTACCATGCATATAGTTAGTAAATAGTGTCTAAGTTTATAATTGCATAATTTTGTAATTTTTGTAGCATATTGATTAAAAAGACAAAAATGTTGAGTAAAAAAATCCAAATCTTTTGATTCTCCCAAATCGATAATTACAAAATCCAAATTTTCATTTTCAGAAAATGGATCTCTCTGCTTTGAACACTCTAAAGTTAGGAACATCACGATAATACGTTAAATATAAGGACAAAACATTTTTATCAGTATTATTATTAACCCTGTGAAAGTAAACTAGAAAATTTATAACTCAAGTTTACGTATTATTAATCTTTTTTGCGGTTCAATTATGTAATTTGCTTTACAAATGCAATACTATGACTAAATAGAAAATAATCATTTGTGAAAATTTTTAGGACTTTGCAGTTTTTAAAATAACTTATCATAGTACAGTAAAATTAGAGATTTTGGAAATATTAATACCCAATTTCTTCTAGACAGGCAAGTAAGACATCATTTTCAAACTGAATGGGAAGCGATTAATCCAGGAATGAACAGACTGATAGTTTAGTTATAAGCGTTTTATCAGCAAAAAAAGAACATTTTTACTATTTTTTTTACACATCTCAGTTTGCTATAAAATTGTTTCCTATGCATGTTTCACGTTAAAAAAAATCAATAGAACACATAGTTCAAAAGTTGCATAAGCTTTTTTGTATACAAAATAAGTCTTTCAACACTGTGTATGCACCTAACATTGCTATTAAAAAACAATTTGCATAGGTAAGGTATATTTTCGGATGTAATTTTTCATGCTGAAATAAATTTAAAAAAAAAAAGGATTTGATGATATAAATTGTTAAAAAGCTTAAATGGTTTTCTGTACAAAAAAGATGCCTGGTCCTGCACTTATTCACTCATCTTACATTGCTACATAACATGCATACAAGTAAGGTATTGCTCACTATGTATTTTTTCTCACATAAAAACGTATTTGAAACTTTTGAACTATTTGTCCCATTGTATCGCATATAATCCCTTTCAAATCATCATAAAAAAGGTCTCAAATAAGAATACAAGATGCAAAACACAAATGTATTTTCGTACATAAGCGTAGTTTTTAGGTATTATTTAAAATAATTTCGATTTTTTTCTAAAATAATTTTTTTTTGTAATACTTTTTCCGAAGACTCTTTCTGTTACTATTATTGGACAGTTTATGCTATATTTTAATAAAATTTGCTTAAAAAAAATTGAATGAGTAAGTTTTACAGAGTTCAGATAGATAAATAATATTATAATAATTTGTTTGGCAGTTCTTTTTAAAAATTTGAGTCTATGTAACTATACTTCGTTGGACTAGAAACTTCCGCAATTAATGCTGAATATTTAAAGTTTAATAATTTCAATTAGTTAAAAGTGCAATAAATGTTCACACTTTTAACTGCAAATAATTGAAAGCTAACATCTGAATTTTATGAATAAAGGATGAATGAATTTCTATATTTCAAAATAACTTACCTAATTTGTTTGCCACTAAATTCTTTTTGCAATTATGGAAGATTTTCAAAAATGTATCTTTCTACATTTAATTAGGCAGTTTCTCTGCGCACAAGATAAGCAACTTGCTCTGCACTTTATTTCGGAGATGTTCAGGTGCATGAGGTAGAAACAGTTAAATCATATTCTCTATGGTGAAGGGAGGATTTTTGCGAAGAAGGACCTCTAAGGATAAGCTGGACTTTACATGAGCTGGACTTTACTGAGCTGGACTTTACTGAGCTGGACTTTACTGAGCTGGACTTTACTGAGCTGGACTTTACTGAGCTGGACTTTACTGAGCTGGACTTTACTGAGCTGGACTTTACTGAGCTGGACTTTACTGAGCTGGACTTTACTGAGCTGGACTTTACTGAGCTGGACTTTACTGAGCTGGACTTTACTGAGCTGGACTTTACTGAGCTGGACTTTACTGAGCTGGACTTTATTGAGCTGGACTTCGAATTTTTTATTTATTTGGGATATTTGCCGAGAAATCTTGGTCTGCTTCGGAGTCTGGTGAGGGGGGGGTTGATTCACTCCTAAGAAGTTTCGGTTGCTATTGTTTAAGAGCTCCAATTCTGTTCCTCGTCTCCCTGGGTTACCAGGCCTCCTTCGTTGGGGCACAGCTTGAGGAACTGGTGGCACTGCAACTGGTAGTGGAGGAGTTTGTGGTGGTGGTGGAGGAGGAGTTTGTGGTGGTGGTGGAGGAAGAGTTTGGGGTGGTGGTGGAGGAGGAGTTTGGGGTGGTGGTGGAGGGGGAGTTTGTGGTGGTGGTTGTGGAGGAGGAGTTTGTGGTGGTGGTGGAGGAGGTGTTTGTGGTTGTGGAGGTGTTTGTGGTTGTGGAGGTTCAGCTGCAAAAGAATTGTTCAGTGATTCTAGTATCGATCTCTGAATCTCCTCACTTCTTTCTCGAATGTCTGCGTCCAGCTGACTCCTGGCTTCATCAAAACTGACTCCTTGAGCAACCCTATCGACGAATCTCGAAGCCAATTCAACCATATGTTCATTTGCCAGCGATGTTGCCAGCATACTAGCTTGTGTCATGATTCGTCGTTTTTCTTCAATTCTCTTTTTCTTCTCCTCTTTATCTTTTTGTTGTTGGAACTCTTTCGCTCTTTTTCTCTCCTCCTGAGCATATTCTATCTGAGTCCTTCGTCTTCTTTCAGCTCTTTCTTTATTTTCTCGGTCTTTCCTCACCTAAAATGTATCCCAGAATTATGATTACATATAAGAAATCAAGCATATTTAGAAAATATCAAAAATAAACATCTTAAAACCATTCGTCGTCCTAAGAAAAGATTTTACATAATGAGTAATGGTTGGCTGGTAATTTTGATGGAAATAATTTGAAAATAAACCTTTATTTCGAAAATGATTTACTGCGGTTAAAACAAATTCTTTCTTTTGCTTCAAACTTACAATTTTAATTTTAAAGTTCTTTGAGTTTTCTTTTTTTAATTAAAATTTCTTTAGATTTTTGCTTTAAAGCAGAAAATGATAGCCAATGGCTAAGAGAAATTCGGTCATCTAATTAAACATGAAACGTCTCTGATTTTCATTACTTTCCACTGAGTCATTTTTTTAATTATATTTCTTTAAAAATTTCTTTTTATTACTATTAATCACACTTTTTAAAGTTTTATTTACAACTTCAGACATTTCTCACCACACTTTCTTTTATAGTTATTTTTCTAATAAATAGGCACTTGTTTTAATTTTTATTCTGGAAATCAAAAGAAATTTAAAAACATTACTGCTGACAAATAAAAAATAATTTGTTCTTTCAAAAATAAGAAGGAATAAAAATTTATGATACAGCTTAGTACAGGTAGAATGCACTATTAAAGAAAAAAGAACAATATGTACGCTCATTCACAGGGTACACCTAACATCTGTGGAGCTGTTGAACGTTGTTTAATTACAATCAACAACTATTTTAACAATACAATTTTAAAAAGATTTATTTTTTTTAATTATTGTTTTCAGTTTGTTAATTTATTATTTTTTTAAGTTGTATGTTCATAATATTTTGTTAAACTTTACTTTTGAATTTTTATACATACTTGGTTATTGCGAGCGCTGTTTAATCAAAATCCTAGGTTTGATAGAAAAATTTAAACAAAAAATGATTTGTTTAATTTAAACGAGTTTTTATACAACTTAACTTCTAGATATTCATTTTTACTTATTTAATTTAGTATGCATCTATTTATAAGCATTGCATAATAAAAATGATATACTCACTTGCTCAGGCGTTTCCACTCCATGAGTTTTCCTAGAAGAAAATTCTTAAAGTCAAACAATGTACATTGTCATTTCTGTTATATTATAACTAATAACAAAATTTTTGCATAGCCATATTATTTAGGTAATTAGTTATAGCATTTAAGATATTTCAATGCATATAAGTCAATGTGTTCGTAACTGGTTTATATGAGAATATGTAAAAAAAATGTACACCATATAATTTAAGTTAAATTTTAAGCGGAAACCTAGCTGCGGACACTACGGGGAAAAACACCAATATTGTATCTAGTGATCTTAATGATCCCATTCTTAGATGTACGAGAGCTTAAACTTATATATTACCAAAAATAGAAATGTTTGAATAAACAGATTTGGATTAAAGACCCTCGATAAAAATGGGATAGCAAAGTTCCTTCAATTTCTTTACTTGCGTATCTCAAAAAATTCACTCACTTTACTTAAAGTTTAGAATTTAAGTGAATTAAATTGTATATCTGACTGTTCAATTTTTAACCATTAATAAATTAAATGATAAAAACTATAAAAATTAATTTTTACAATTATCCTTTGAAAACACAGTTTTATGAATGCATGTAAAATCTCAAATTCTTCACTTCAATAGTTTGGAAATTGCCTACTATGAGGATTTTTGCTAAAAAAAAAAATTTCATACAGAAAGAACATTCAACTTTTTATAAATTTTATTAAAAAAATCTTAATAGCCTTTATACGTCTAAGGCTAAATTTACACAGTTCTTTATGGTTATACATGGTTCTTACGTAAAAGTTGTTATAAAATGTTATTCATATAAAAAATTACATTAAAGTTTCAAAGTCTATACATAGTTTTGACTTTAAAGTTGACAGATATGCTTAAATATGTAGAATATGCAAGAAGTGAAACTAATGTTAAAGGGCCAAAACTTTCCGCTTTCTAGACTGAATTATTCTGACTATATTTTTTCAAATTGTGGCCACTGCCCACCCCGCACAGTTTGATGGTCTGAAGTCAAGGTCTGTAGAAATGAAGTATTTTATTTAGCAAAAGTCATTATTGGGCCTCACACATCGTATGCACTAGTTCATAAGCATATAAAGGTCAAACCATTCATATTGAATCTTAATCCGATCAATTAAATTAAAAGTTAATTCAGGATATTTGTTCATTGTAAAATTTAAATAAAAGCATGTTTAGAAAAACCCTGAAATTAATCATAACTGTAACTACAAATTAGCCCTTCTAAAGTTTCATTATTCTAGAAAAACAATTCGTAAAAATATAGAACAGTGCTATAACTATGCTTTGTTTTTTTACTGATGGGTAGACAATTAAAAATTAAAGCTTACGGAATACTGCCAACATTTTAAGCAGAGAGGTTTGAAACAAAGAGGCTTATTAGTCGATTCATTTTCAAGTAGTGGCGTGAAAAATTACTTTAAATCAAATTTATAAAGGAAAGAATATTACATTAAGGCATACTAAACTAAACTCAGCGGCCCTTGAGGGCCAAGGTGCCCACCTCAGTTTTCTTGACCTTGGGCTCTGGGATGCCGGAGCAGATGTTCCGGTCAGGTGGTCAGCCGAAGGTGGAACCCCCAGTGTTTAGTTCCCAAGCATGCTTGGTACTCATTTATCGACCCACTGAAGGGATGAAAGGCTGAGTCAGCCTTGCCCGGCCCGAGGATCGAACCAGGGACCTGTGGTACAACAGCGCATCTCAGTCACCGGGCGTCATAAACTTATCTACCAGAAGAAATTTTTCAAAAAAGCGTAGAAAGTTTGCAAGACTGTAGTATTTATTTTAAAACTTGAAGTTTTATAATTCAAAGTAAAAATAGTTTTTTTTTTAAATATATAAAAAAATTTTCACACGAATCTTTTAACATTAAATAATAGTTTAAAATAGATATCTCTTATTAATTCTAACACCCAAGTGATCTTTACGTCAAAATTTTTCCCCACTCTTTTTTAAGTAAAAAATAAATATTTAAATTTATTTTTGCCTGGAACTTTTTTTGGATAAACAAATTTTATAATTGTGTGCAACAAATTTTATAATTGCGTGCAACAAATTTTCAAGTCACAAGTTTGAGATATAGCGAAATACGCAAAAAGTAAAGTTAACGTCAAGGGATTCAAACTTTGGATCTCTCTCCACACCAGACTATGGGAATAATGTTTATCAGATTACAACTACCCCTATATTTAGGGGTCAGGAATCTGAAATCGTCGAAATATAAGTATTTATTCAGAGAAAGTATGTTTTTTTTGTCTGATTTTGTAACTTTAAATATCGTCTGCACTAATTATTTGGCATATTTGAAGTCAACCTCCCAAATCATTAAGAATGAGCTTTAGAAAGTAAAAATCCGATCACCAGATCAAAAGTTATTCAGAGTGGTCCGCTTTTCTTTTGGCGCACTGTTCAATAATTCTAGGAAATAATGATCTTAAGATATTCCATATCAATATGGCCTCTTGATTCTGACAGAAATAGATGCTCTTTTTTGAATGACATTCAATTATAAAATAAAAATTCCTGTATTTAGCACTGGAACATGCATGACTTTTTCCTGTTTTTAATGGCTTGAATAATGCTTATCCAATTCAAACATCCCTCAAGAGGGAAATCTCGCCATAAAACTGAAATTATTTGTAATATTGGTTCAGTTTATATACGAAATCAGGAACTGCTCCTAAGAAACAAATCATTAATACTTAAGAAAAGTATCAATACCATTGAACGAAAGAGCCTATTCATTGTAATTTCAAGTCTACAAACCTTGTTTTAACATTAACTACACTAAATTGGTGAAAAATCTCCAAACGGAAAATGAATACACTTCTTACAAAAAAAAAAAATTTAAATTCAGATGAACAAATGCAATTTTCATTTGGTAAAATGTCAAGTAATTAAAACAATTGAATCTCGTACGAGATACAAATGTACTACCAAAATACTGAAATAATTTAATAATGGAATTATTAATAATGAAAAATATTGATGAATGAGTATCTTAAACAAAACAAATCTCTCACATTTTTGACATTTCTCACATTTATCTCACACAAGTTTGAATTTATTTGTAAAATGTTAGCTTCATTTTTTTAATTTTTTTTTTTAATTTTCGATAAAATTTAAATGTGTTTTATACAGAACTGCAAAATATATTTTCCAGAAAGTCCGGTATAAGGTTACCAGAAAATATTTTTTTTTAACTAAACTGAGTAATAATTGAAATGTAATGATATTAATTGTAATTTCTCAACGCTAAGCAAATAAAAGTATTTTGATACAATGCGACAAATTAATAATGACTTCAACTACCACTTGAGGGCATAGCACACTCACAAGTAAAACTTCAAGCTTTCTAGAAAAAGTGTAGCACTTTAGACCCTTTAAAAAAACACATGATTTGATTTACTCTAATCAAACACACAGAAAAAAACGACTTCTTCAAGTCTCTATTATTGCACATCGGTGTTGTTACTCAAAGAA